GTCAGAGACTCTTCTAGTTCAGGACATTCACAAAGTGCCCTCTTTGACCCCGATGTTTTTCAGACCAACAGTAGTGAGAACCCCTACACAGACCCCGCAGACCTGATCGCGGACGCCGCTGTGAGCCCCAACAGCGACTCCTCCAACCATTTTTTTCCAGATGGGGTAGATTTCAACCCTGACTTGCTAAACAGTCAGAGCCAGAGTGGTTTTGGGGAGGAATACTTTGATGAGAGCAGTCAGAGCGGAGACACTGATGATTTCAAGGGCTATGCCCCCCAGGCTCTAACTAATTTGGGGGTGCAAGTCTTAGGGGCTGATGGGGGGGAAAATAAATTTAAGGGGAGCACTCCGTCCGATACGGTGGATTTTAGTATTATTGCAGCTGCCAGCAAAGCACTGGGGTCCTCTGACATCATGGAGCACCACAGTGGAGGTCAGAGCCCTTTGCTGAACACGGGGGATTTAGGAAAAGAGAAGTCTCAGAAACGGGTAAAGGAAGGCAATGGGTCTGGAAGTGCCATGGCAGGTGCTGGGATGGATGGGAAGCCAGGGAAGCGCAGCCGGACGCCATCCAGCGATGGCAAAAGCAAAGAGAAACTTCCAAAGCGGAAGAAGCAGGAGACGGATGGGAAATCTCCATCCCACAGTTCATCCAACAGGCCCTTCACGCCACCAGCAAGCACAGGTGGGTCCAAATCTCCGGGGAGTTCGGGCAGATCCCAGACTCCTCCCGGGGTAGCTACTCCTCCTATTCCAAAAATAACCATTCAGATCCCAAAAGGAACAGTGACTGTTGGCAAACCATCTTCACACGGCCAGTACACGAGTAGTGGTTCTGTCACCTCCTCCAGCAGCAAAAGCCATCATAGCCATTCTTCCTCCTCCTCCTCTTCTTCCTCCTCTTCAACCTCAGGCAAAATTAAAAGCAAATCAGAAGGGTCTTCTGGCTCAAAGATGAGCAGCAGCCTCTACTCCAGCCAAGGCGGCTCCGGCTCGGGTCAGTCCAAGGGCTCGGCCCAGTCGGTGGGAAAGCCGGGATCCTCCCCCATCACCAAGCACGGCCTCAGCACCGGCTCTGGCAGCACCAAGATGAAACCTCAAGGAAAGCCATCATCCCTCATGAACCCTTCCATGAGCAAACCAAACATCTCCCCGTCCCACTCGAGACCTTCAGGGGGTTCTGAGAAACTCGCTTCTCCCATGAAACCTGTCCCGGGTACTCCCCCGTCGTCGAAAGCGAAGTCGCCCATCAGTTCAGGTTCTGGTGGGTCCCACATGTCTGGCACTGGGTCAAGCTCGAGCATGAAATCATCTTCAGGCATGGGATCCTCTGGGTCTATGTCACAGAAACCGCCTCCCTCGTCCAATTCCTCCACGGCATCTTCATCTTCCTTTTCATCCAGCGGGTCTTCCATGTCTTCATCCCAGAACCAGCATGGAAGCTCCAAAGGCAAGTCCCCGAGCAGAAACAAGAAGCCATCGCTGACCGCAGTCATAGACAAGCTGAAGCACGGGGTGGTCACGAGCGGGCCTGGCGGAGACGACCCCATGGATGGACAGATGGGGCCGAGTTCCAATTCCTCAAGCCATACAATGTCCTCCAAACACAACATGTCTGGAGGGGAGTTCCAGGGAAAGCGGGAGAAGAGCGACAAGGAGAAATCCAAGGTCTCTGTTTCTGGAGGATCCGTTGACTCTTCCAAGAAGAACTCGGATTCCAAAAACGTCGGAAGCACCGGAGTGGCCAAAATTATCATCAGCAAACACGATGGTGGTTCCCCCAGCATTAAAGCCAAAGTAACTCTGCAGAAACCGGGGGAAGGGGGCGGGGATGGGCTGAGGCCTCAGATGGCTTCTTCCAAAAGCTACGGATCCCCCTTGATCAGCGGCTCCACCCCCAAACACGAGCGCTGCTCCCCCAGCCACAGCAAATCCCCGGCCTACACCCCCCAGAACATCGACAGCGAGAGCGAGTCGGGCTCTTCCATCGCCGAGAAATCCTACCAGAACAGCCCCAGCTCCGACGATGGCATCCGGCCCCTGCCCGAGTACAGCGCCGAGAAGCACAAGAAGCACAAAAAGGAGAAGAAAAAAGTGAAAGACAAAGATCGGGACAGAGAGAGGGACCGGGATAAGGACAGGGACAAGAAGAAATCCCACGGCATGAAGCCCGAGAGCTGGTCCAAGTCTCCCATCTCAGCAGATCAATCCCTGTCCATGGCGAGCAACGCCATCCTCTCGGCTGAGCGGCCGTCCCGGGCCAGCCCCGAGTTCCTCATCGGGGAGGAAGATGATGATCTCATGGATGTTGCTCTAATTGGCAATTAATTCTCCCAGATGAGCTGTCTGCAGGCCGTGGAGGGAAGGAAGGAAAGAAGGATTCATCTCAAACCTGCCACACGGATCTTCACGGGGTGTGTTTGGAGAGGGGAAAAAATAAGTATTTCCAAGGTATTTCTAAGATTTTCAGACCTCCAAGGTCTGTGCAGAAGGATGTGAGTGCCAGGTCCCTGCCTGTGGCCTTCATCCTGTGGGCACTTCCATTCTTCCTGAATTTATGAGTATTATCATCCCCTGGAGTTAGTGGGGATGAACCTGAGTGTGGGAATGTGGGAGCAGCTCCCAGATGGGACAAACAGACATAGGCTGGTCTGGGAGACCCCAGTCCCTCTGCCCTCTTCCCATTCAGGATAAACTCCTTTTGAATGTAGGAAGTTTTAAAGTAATTATTTTAGGAAATGTGTTAGGGCTGGGTTTTAATTCTTTGGAAGAAGGAAAACCACGAGGTTTTTAATTTATTTTATTCCCACGGCATTCCTTCATTCAATGCCCAGCTTAGCAGGGTGCCTCTGGCACAAGATGGGCACTATTTCCTCCTGGAAATCAGGATTTTATCCCAGGTCACAGCTCTGAGGGATTGCTGCTGCCTTGGGTTTGCCTTCCCATTTATTTCAGCTATTTATTCACCTCCATGTGGCAACACCTCGTGCTCCTTGTTTTCCCCCAGTGGGAATTTGGGTAGAGCCCGTGGGTTTGGGTGGCTCTGCAGCTCTGGTGACATTCCAGCATGGTGAAATTCCAGCAAATCTCAATGGAAAAGGGACTCCTGCCTGAACCAACAAGCTTCCCTGGAATCTCCTCGTGCTGCTGAAGCTGAGAATTGTGGTCACACACAGGAGCACTGCCCTGGGAAGGATTGTCCAGCTAAGGGACCCATGTCCTGCTTGGAAAACAGTCCCAGAATGGCTCAGCTGGGATCAGAGTTGCAGCAGAAGTGTTGATTTCCTTAAAAGATGGATTTTCCCCTTTTGGCTGGAATTAGGAGCATGACTCAGGCATCCTCTCCGGGCTGATCTTGTGGTCCCTGAAAGGAAAAGAGACTCAGGAGAGTGTTTTATTTTTAAAAGCAGTTTCATCTGATTCACTGAAGAGGAATGTGGGAAATCAGGAGTTCTGCAAACACATCTCCTGTGGAATTATGTACTGAGCAGGATCATGCTCCCACTGGATTTTGCTGTCGGTGCTGGAGGCCAGGATTTCCCCGTGGGAATGAGGTTGTGCTTCACTTTTGGGGATGCAGCGTGAAAAGATGGCAAGGATTTGAGTTTTTCTTTTAAACCACTGAAATTTCCCATCCTGGGCAGACCCCAGGGATACCCCAGGAAAGCTGTTTGGTTTCCAGCTTTTTTGGAAAGTCTTTTTAGTAGCTTGGCAACTCTCCTGTTAATTGTAGGGATTTTTCACCCCTTCCTCCTGCCTCCAGTTTAATTCCAGCATGGGAGCCTGAATGTCTCCCAAAATTCCCCCAGCTCTGGAGAACTTTCCCTCCTTACATTTTCCAGTATTTATCCCTTGCTCCTGGTGTCCTGCACACCACAAGCAGAGCTTGAAATGATAGGAAAATGGGAACTAAATCCAAACCTGGAGCAAAAAGTGATCCCTGGCACAGTGTTGGAATCGTGGGGTGCTGCAAAGAGGATGTGAGGAGCACAATCCCAGAGGAATTCAGCTGGACACCCTGCTCCAGTGGCTCTGTTGGGAATGTTGCCAGTCAGCCTCCGGAGCTGCCCCCATCTCCTGCTTTTATCAAATCCATTTTTTTGGACAAAATCCCTTCGGTCCGTTGCGAGTTGTGCGAGGGGGCACAAGCAGCCTTCCAAAAAAAAAAAGGCACTTTCAAGTGGAATCCAGGCTGGGAATCCCTCAGGATGGCTCCCTGGACTCGTCCTTGGCCAGAGCTGTGTTTTCCTGCTGTGCTGCACACTAAAATTTGGAAGGGAAAGCGGCAAAATTGACACAAAAACCTGTTTTAAAGGAACAAGCTGCACTCGTTTCCTCTCCCCTCACCCAGACTAAAGCTCAGTATCCAAAATTCCCCCTGTGGAAGGTGGGAACAGAGGGAACAACGTCTCCTCCAGCCCAAATTTAAAGCTTTTCACCCCATTTTGGTGCCCTGTCCCCTTCCAATGACGTCAGTCCTGGGAGAGCTGAGGTGCATGACCACGAGAGGCTTTGGGGTGTCAGTGCTCGGGCTCTGAGAAATGGTTTATTTTTGGAATATTTTTGCTTATATTCTCAATAATTTTACATCTTTCAGTATTCAGAAAGATAAAATAAAGCGAAAATTTAATATAAGCCAAACCTTTTAATCTCAGGTGGTGAAGTGAACACGGAGATTAAAAGCAACTGGTTCTTTCCTCGATTATCATGATGTACATAAATCCCTGGCTGGAAAATCGCTGGAATTGTAAATATCCCACCTCCCGCGGCAGATTTTTTTTTTTTTTTTTTTGGGCGGAAAGTGGAATTTCAACTTTTTTGGAAATATCGCAGAGAACATGTTTATTTACACGCAAATAAACCCCTTTGGTACAAAGCGGTGTGTGCTCCGTGCTGGGGGAGGGTCACAAGGGCATCCCCGCCATGCTTGATTTTCCCGCGACAATGACATCACCATGACGTCACCCCCGCGCGGCGCGCTGATTGGTTGAACTCGCTGCTCCCGGAAGGGACCGGAGGGGCGGGGGACGCCCCCCCCCCCTCCCGGGACCCCCGATCCCCGCAGCCCCCCGGACACCGGGGGGAGGATCCTGGGGGTCCCGCACCCCCGGCACCGGGGGCAGCTCCGCTTCCCTCGCTCCGCACCGGGGGAGGACCCCCACGGCGGCGCGATGGGGGCGGCGGCCTGCGGGGTAGGTGGGGGGGAACCTCGCTCGTGTGTGTCCCCCCCCCGTTCCCATCCCTTCGCCCTCCCCGGGATATCCCCGCTCCTCCATCCTCAAGGCATCCCCGGTGCTTCGCCCCTTCCTCGCGGTACCCCCGGCTCCGGGACCCCCTCCCCTCGCCAGCCCCGCTCCCATCCCTCTCTTTTCCGCACCCCCCTTTTCTCCCGGGGGGCACCCCCGTCCCTTCCCTTCGCCATACCCAAACCCTCATTCCCCACCCGCTGTGCGCCCCTCTCCCCTCCCTCCCTCTTCCCTCCCTCTCCCCCGTCCTGCTGCCGTCCCTCTCCTTTCCTCACCCCCCTTTTCTCCCGGGGGGCACCCCCCTCCTCTCCCCTCGCTATACCCCGGCCCCGCCATGCGCAGGGAGATGAACGGGGTCACTAAGAGCCGCTTTGAGGTGAGGCCCCGGCCGGTCCCGCGGGGGGGAGGCCTGGCCTGGCCCGGCCCGGCTGAGGAGGCGCGGGGGGGGCCGGGCCGCGCTGTGTGCGACCCCCCCTGAGGGCCCTGAGGGTCCTGGGGTCCCTCCCCGGCCCCGGCCCGGACAGCGCGGCCCTGGGGCAAAGCCTGTTTGAATGGGGCTGGGGTGGGGGGTGGAGATCGGGGGCGGCCCGGGGGGCTCAGGGCTGTGCCCCCCGCCTTTGGGGGGCGGTTGGTGTGACATTTCTCTCCTCCATCCCCATTTTTTGGGGGGATGTTCTGTCGGAGGATGTAAACTCCCGCGGGGGGGGTCTGTGAATGGGGCTGGGGGTGAGCGTGGGGACGTGGAGAGGGTCAAGGCTGTGCCCCCCTGGTTTGGGGGGCTGGTGTTAAACACCTACCCACCCCGTTTTTGGGGGTCCCCTTGGGGGGTCGCTGTGAATGAGGCTGGGGAGGGTCTGTGGGTATGGGGGGGTGCTCAGGCCTGGACTCCCGGATTTTGGGGGGCGTTGGTGTGAAACCTCTTTCCCCTCCATCGGTTTTAGGGAGAGGGTTCCCCCGTCTGATTCTAACTCGAGGGCGTCTGCGAGTTTGGGGGGTGCTGGTGTGAAACTTCTCCCCCTCCCCATTTTGGGGGTCTCCCCGTCTGTTACAAACTCCCGGGGGGCTTTGGGGGGGGTCGGAGCTGCTGCCAACGTGTTGCTGCGGGTGCGAGAGCTGCCAGCCAAGTTGATGATGGAGCAGGAGATGTGGGGAATCGCGCCTGGAAAACACCACAGCCTTTGGGGAGCGGGGCTGGGGGGGCTCTCAGAGGGGGGAAAGGAGCCCCCAGCCCCGCTTTTTTTATTTTTGGGGCAGTAGCAGGGGGGAAAAAAAAAAAAATTTGCTTACGGGGAGGTGGGGGATGGAGAGGACGGAAGGAGAGGAGGGTAAACAATGAGATCTATTCAAAGGCCGTGGCACAAAGCGGAGTGTGGAGCCAGGGCGATTCCAGCCGCATTGTTGTCCCAGCTGTCTTCCCGTGGGAGGAGGAGGAGGGGTAGGGAGGAAGGGCAGCGGCGGGATTTACTTCCCATCGCTGCGAGAGGATGGAAATCCCTGCTCGCTGCTTCTCCGCACTGCCCGGCCCGTGTGGGGGACAAAAAAGAGCCTGGAATGGTAAAACCGTGGCTGGAGGAGAGGGCTGTGATGGCGATGCAGGGGAAATGCTGGTTAGTGGTAAACTGGAGGGGCTCTGGCTGCTCAGAGATCCTTGGGGGATTCCTCAGCCCTGGAGTTGAGAAGGGTGCAGGGGAAATGCTGGTTAGTGGTAAACTGGAGGGGCTCTGGCTCCTCAGAGATCCTTGGGGGATTCCTCAGCCCTGGAGTTGAGAAGGGTGCAGGAAATGCTGGTGGTCCCACTCTGCACGTGGGATTGTTTTCTTCCTCCGTCAGATCCGTGTGAGAGCTGCAGCAGTGTCAGTTTGGGGTGGGCTCGGGTGTTTTTAAATGTAATATTCGTGTTTCTGTAGCATGCAGTGCTAAAAGCACTGGGCTCACCCTGGGAACTCCAGAGAGGAGCCTGCACATGAGCCCTGTGTTATCCAGGGTCATTGTGTTTACTGTTCTGGGCTCTTCTTGCTTGCACAGGTTTTTTAATTTATTTATTTTTACCCCCTGAGAGCTTTGTTTTTTATTTTGTACTGCTGCAGAGTGGCTGGATACAGGGTGAAAGCAGGTTGGTGACAGCTTTTGGGGGAAATGTCTCATAGGGCATCAAAATCCTTTGCTTCCTCAGCCTCTGTCTCTCAGTGCTGGAGTTCATTCCAATTTTGGGAGGGTTTTATCAGGGTTGCACCAGGACACGATGAACCCAATTCATTGGGGAAAAAGAGTGGGGAAGAGCTTTGTTTGGCCTGTTTTGGGTGGGGTTTTTTTCTTTGCTGGAATGTTATTTTCTTCTCATAGTAAAAAACAAGACAAGTTGGAAAACAAGCAAAATGCTCGAGGAGCCTTTGAGGCCTAAAATTAATTTTTAAAACCTATATTTATACAGGAAGAGTTGGTGTGTTATAGAGAGGCTTATTTTGAGCTACAAGAAGTGCCTTTAAACATCATCCTGTTTCTTGGCTGTTCTGGTTGCTGTGTTCTGTGGCTGCCCCATCCCTGGAAGTGTCCAAGGCCAGGTTGGGGAGGGATAACCTGGGACAGTGGGAGATGTCCCTGCCCAGGGCAGAGGTGGCACTGGATGAGTTATTCCATGATTATAAATCCAAGGAATCCTTCATTTCCTCAGCATGGATTATCTCTGACCCGCTCACCTGGATAACCTGGAAAGTTTTAGAGCTGCTTTCCTTTAAATTTGTGATTTTCCACTGAGGTTATGTCAGTCAGAAGAGTTTCCAAAATGTGTGTTCACGCTTAGATTTATTTTCCAGAGGAGCAGAATGGGTGGAAATTCCTCTGTGCTTCCTAGAAACCAGTTTGTGGTGGCTTTGCTTTGCAAGAAAGGTCTGTGAGAGTTCACACTTCATGGGACAGGAGGAGAATTGGGCAGAAATGTCTGGAGACTGGGAGGTGCTCTTCAGAGCTGTGGAATATTGTGAGGTCATGAAGGCAGTGGGTGTTTAGTTCTCCTCTTCCTCCTCCTCTTCCTCCTCACCTGTGGGTGCTGCCAGGGCAGTTCCCCTGGCTGAGCAGGGGGAAGTAGGGCCTTTGACTCTGGAATCTTATTTTGGGGTAAAACCAGCCCGATCTGGGGCTGTGACTAATATATTATGTCTGTTTCAGACTTGGAATAACGGGGGAATTGCAGAGGGGGAGGCTGGGTTGGGTTTGCACTTGGTTTATTGTCTTTTGTGGAGCCACGTAAACAGATTCCTGAGCCATTGTTGTTGGGTAATTCACAAATCCAGTCGTGAGGGGGGTTAATAATAATAATAATAATTCCTTACTGTAGGGATAAAATATGGGCAGAGCTCCTTAAATTGGACTTGCATGTGGGTTTCTGATTCCAGGAAGAGTGGAATTCTGTTTTTCCTGGGAATGCCATGGAGCATACTGGGATTAGTCCCTTTACAGGAGGCGTGGCCACCACAGAGAAAATCACCACTTACTGCAGCAAAGCAAACAAAAAGGGAAAACATTACCCAGATTGACTCCTAATTCTCTGTGGTGTCGGTTTCACGTGGAACATGCCCCGACAGATCCCAATCCGTGCTTATATTTGGGATTTCTCTGCTTCCTGCCTGATGAAGAGCAGCCAAATAACAGCAGAGAGGAGGGGAGGCATCTCCTGGTGCTTCTGAGTGGTTCCTGATGCTCTGGGAGGATTCATCTACCAAGGCCCAAGTTCTCTTGTCCTCCTGTGCCCTAGGATGTCACCTGCAGCTGTCCTGGGTTTCCCTCAGCCACCTTGTCAGGATTAAGTAATTCCAGTTGTTTTTTTTTTTTCTTCCTCTGACTGTGAACCATCCGTGTAGTCTCCTCTACATCCTCCAAACTACCAGCACACAAAAAGCTCCATCCTTTCCAGCTTCCTCTGGGAGCCTCCAGAGCCTGCAGTGAGCAGGAGCTGCTCCTGGCTGTGAAGTGTGTCTGTCCATGGGGCAGTTGGGCCTGGTAGAAACGACATTTTGGCAACTCCAGGGATGTCTCTGAGGAATGAGAGTCTGTGGTGAGCCTTGTGAGCACCTTCAGCCTGGGAAATGCATCGATCCATGGCATTTCTGTGCTGGATTCAGGGTCCTCAGTGTGAGGGAATTCTGACCTTTCTGAACCTCTGTAATTCCCAGCTCTTGTTCAGCTGTAGAAATGTGAAATGAGCTAAGCTGGATGCAAAATGGGAAACTTCAAATGCTCCAAAATCGAGCTGCCTTCTAATAATTAATCCTATCTGTGTTCAGAAATTGAATAATCTCACTGACCCTAATCCCATTTTGGAATCTGCTGCGTTTCTGCCTCTGAAATGCTTTTGCTGTATTTTCAGGGGTTTTGGATCTTTAGGACTGATCCTTTTGGGGCTGTCCCTGCTCCCTTTCCTGGGCTGCTCCTTGTGCTTCTGGCTGGGGCTTTGCTGTTCCAAGGAATGGAGGTTGTGCAAACAGAGGGAGACAAACAGGGCAGGGAAAACTTTGCTCTGACTCTCCTTGCAAAAACTGATGTAACACCATGGAATCTGATTTTATATGGGAAGAGAAACTCTTGGTGACAAAACCCAGGAACACCTGAGGTGGCACAGTTGAAACAGGTGGTTTTTTTGGATGGTATCTAACAATGTGGTCATAGATAATGAGAAAAACTGTAAAAAAAAAAGATTTTTGGGAGGGGGGTGTCCAAGCTGATAGATTTTCCATATTCCTGTTCACTCCTCCACCCTCGTTTATTTTTAATTTCCGTGTCGTGCCACATCACACGTAACACTTTTTAAACCAGGGCTTCATTTGGGCAGGTGAATAATAATAAACTGTTAATTTATTTGGTTCAAAGTGGTTGTTGAAATGATGAGATGGGAAGAGATGTAAACCACGAGTTGTGTTTCACACCCCCACTGTGCTGCTGCTGTGGCTTGA